GAGATGACATCTCCATTTGACCTCTTTCAATTTTGATGACAGCAAAGAGTTGGAAACTAGCCAGAAAAGGATCTTGTACTCAGTTGATAGATAATCCAGCGGGAAATGATGTGTTTCTTTTAAAAAGTCTATTAGCGGCCCTCCCTGGTGGCGCAGCGGGTTAAAGCGCAGCACTGAGAATCTGAAGCCACTTCCGCATGAGTTCGATTCCCGCCTGCCGCCTGCCCCGGAGGAGTCCACATGGCGAGCCAGACCTCTCCTGGCCCGCCCGCTGCTTCCCTCAGCAGTGTACTTCGTCATTCTGCCTGTTCTGCTCCCCACTCTGTCTCTGGTGAAGCCTCTCACCGCCCCTGAGCCTCTGGCCTGTACCCCAGTTCTGTATGAATAAATAAATAAATCTTTAAAAAAAAAAAAAAGTCTATTAGCAAAATTGTTTTCCTGAGTTGTTCGCATTATTGCTTTGTGATGCCTTTCTTCTTTGGTAATAGTTTTCTTCAGTTAGTTGGCTATTTGAGATTCCCTACAATGCATGACTGTTTTCTGTGCCTGCATCTGACAGTCCTATTGTGTTATAGCATTTACTCTCTACTCCCAAACTGGAATTGAAAAAAACTAACTACCCTGAGGTGAGGAGAGAAAAATCATGAGGAAGTGGAGACTGACCTGGCAGCTTTTAATGGAGTCCCATTGTTCCTGCTGTGTCTAAGCTTAGAGTACCTTGGAGTCCTGCTTTTCCTTAGGCTGCAGTTTTTTGTTCAGTGTGGTCCTATTTGCTTTCATTTTCTTTGCTATTCCTCGTGATTCCTAGTTCACTGGTGGATATCCTTTTTGATTTCTAAATCTTTTGTTACTTTACTCTATTTTAAGCAATCTTTTCTGTTATTTTTAAGTATTGTGATAGTGTATGTTCAGACTATGAACATACGATACTGTTCTTCAGTTTACTAAATTTATTCACTCTTAAATTCTTTAGTGTACTCAGTTAAAGCAGGATTTTATGTTTGTGACAGTCTTCTTTATAATTCCCATCTTTGTTTCCTCCACATTCCATTCTTTAATAGTACCAGTGGTGTTTGGTACATACTCTTTCATTTTTTTTCTGATTATTTATGTGTATGTTGTTTTCATAATGTTGTTATGCCATAGTCAGTCTCCACTTCTCCATATTTTATTAAACATATTTTCCATATATTATTCTTAATATACATATGTAACATATATATATTATTCTTAATACATATCTTGGCATCTTCCCATATCAGTAAATGAAGAGCTACTTTATTTCTTTTAGTTGTTGCATATTATTTCATAGTTGAGTAAAACTATTGGTGGACATTTGTTAATCTTTTTAATAATGCCATAATAAGCATACTATTTACATTCATTTTTATGTATTTCAAGTTTTTGTGAACTACATTTCGTGAATTGAAATGGATTACTAAGTGGGTGTTTCAGTCTTCGATAGACTGTTCTGATTTATATTTCCCCAGTGGTGTATGAGATTACCTACTTTCCTTTGTATTTGCCAGCATGGGTTATTAATACAGTTAAAAAAAGATTTTATCACTCCAGGAAACGTACATTTCCTGTTATCTGTATTTTACTTTTTTGTAATGAACACTTTAAAGTGAGACAGATTTTTAAAAATTAGCTTTCTTGAGCTTGCAAGAATAAATTGTTAAGCTTATCATGTGAATGTAATAGGGAATTTATTTATGCCAGATATGTTCTATCACATATTTGGCATCAGTAACAGCTAGAACATATTTGACATCTCTCTGAATAAGTGAAACACAATATGTAAAGTCTTAACATGGTGCATAGTGCATAGTGGGTATTTAATAAAAGCCTATTATCTTTCATTCCTTTACTTCCCCTTTTCTTTTTCCAACTCATTGGTATTTATTTATTTATTTATTTATTTATTTATTTATTTTTGGTACTTTCATTTTTAAAAAAATTTATTTACACAGAACTGGGGTACAGGCCATAGGTGCAGGGAGTGGTGAGATGATTCACCAGAGACAGAGTGGGGAGCAGAACAGGCAGAGTGATGAAGCACACTACTGAGGGGAGCAGTGGATGAGACAGGAGAGGTCTGCTGAGCCATGTGGGTCATCTCCCTAGCTGAGGATTGAAGTCATGCACAGTAGCTGGCTATAGCTGGATAGCAATGAGATTTAACTAACCCTGTGCATCAGGGATGCCCAAAATTTAAAATTTTTGATTTCTCCCATGCTTGGTGGTGGGACTGCCCTGTCTTGCTGATAGAAAACAGATTTCAGTTGGTTAAGGTACATGGCTTCACCAGCCACAGAAACAAGAAGTAGCTCTGTTCTGCTTTAATTCCCATGTGTTTGCATGAGACAAAGAAGTTCTTTACCATGTGCCATATGCAAAACCTGGTTTTTATCAAAGTAACAAACAGTACATTGTCATTGGGAAAAAGCAAACTTCCCTCTCCCCTTCTATGCCACTTTGGTAATTTTTTCTGTATTGTTTGGTCACATCTTTAAAGATATAGTTCTAACTATTTTTGCCTACCATTGAACATTTGGTTGTATAGTTGTCATTAACATAATACAAAAAAAAAGTGACAAAAAAGTGAGTGTACTTGCATCAGAATTACCTACATTCAGCAGTATTCATTGGGATGAATATTGAGTGAGGAGGTGCTAGACTAGGAGGAATTTGAAGTCCTAGAGGCTCTTGCCAAGGATTGTAGACCATATGGGATGGAAGACAGAGGTACCTCTTCCAGGCCTTAATGATGTTGGGTATTGTGATATAGATTTATTTGCTTATAGAAAATACCACATTTGTTTTCAAAGCCCATTCATAATAAAGTGGACAGAGTTGGCCCTGTGGGTATCTGGGGAAATGCTATTCAGGCCTTTGAACAGTCTAATATGAGCTGAAGGCAGCCATCTGGTTGGCTTGTTTAAAGGGCAGTTGTGCTCATCACAGCTTTTCAGTTAACTCTATCTAGACCATGTACCCTTGTGAACAACAATACAAATATGATTACAGCAGACTAAATATTTGGAAGACAAATAAATCATTGAAGGACAAGCAGGACCCTACCTTCTCCCTATGAAAGTTTAAAAATCTGTTGCTTTGGGGCCTCCCTCATGGGGCCGGGGTTAAAGTCTCAGCATTTTCAAGATATCACCAGCCACTGGGGTTGATCCCCAGCCAGGAAGCTAACCGCAGACCTCTTTCATCTTGCCCACTGCTCCCCTCAATAGTGTATTTCAGTAGATCCACCTGTTTCCCTTCCTACTCTGTCTCTGGTGAATCCTCTGGTGGCTCAGGGGGTTAAAGCACAGCACTAGAGGCTAAAGCCACTTAAGCATGAGTTTGATCCTCACCTGCCCCAGAGGTGGTGCACATGGCACGGCAGACCTAGCCTGCCCTCTGCCCTCTGCTCCCCTCAGCAGTGTGCTTCGTCAGTCTGCCTGTTCTGCTCCCCACTGTCTCAGGTGAATCCTCTCACTGCCCTTGCACCTCTGGCCTGTACCTTAGCTCTGTATGCATAAATAAATAATTAAAAAACAAAACAAAACAAAACTTGTTTTGTAGTTACAATGTTTATCCACAAAGGAATAATCTCCAGTCTTCCCCTCTAGTCACCATCTTCCAGTATTACCAAGTATTTGCCTTTAGTTGAACTCCCTGTTTTGCTTGTAGATGGTTTCCAGTTCTATATCTCTAAAGTATCCAGCACTTTCTTAGACTTCCTTGCTTGTGTAGCAAAAATCTGCCATCCTCAAATAAGTCCTTTCTGGCAAAAGTCTGATTTAATGGGAGAGGTCTTGAATGTTGGGTGAAGGTTGCTTCTAAAAAAGATAACACTTCTGTAAGTTTGTGTACTAGAAAGACCTAATCTCTAACTCTTTTCAATGGAGAAGTCAGAATTTAATCTGCATACTTTTGTCTACTGTACTGGTAACCTCACTAATTGACCTCCTCTTTCTTCTGTAACCTCCTTTGTCTTACCTAAACTATTTAATATATCCTCTGAAGCCATGTGAATGAGTTACCCAGTCATGCTGGGTCTCTCCCATGTATATAGGAGATACATGTTATTATTAAACTTTTTTAAAAAAGTAAAACTTCTGGAAACTCTTTAAATACACAGTTAAAATGAAGGGAGAAAACATTTGCAGATTTCACCTGTACGAATTGATAGCCATACACACACACACATACACACACATATTGCACTATATGTGTGTATATTGGTTTTCATTACTCAAAATCTATTGTACTATTTCATGCATGGATATAAAATCCAAAATAAAAACTATAAAAACAGAAAAAAAAAGTATTTGATAGCCAGAATATATAATGAATTTTTACAAGTCAATGGCAAGAAAAAATAACCAATTAAAAAGTAGTCTGAAAAATTAACTGTTCAGTTCACCAAAGGAAAATAAATGTATGACAAATAAGCACACAAAATAATATTTAACATCTTAAGTTACTAGGGAATAGATACATGTACATTCCTATTAGAATAGAATAACTAAAATTCAAAAACAAAAAAAGAAGTTCTCTGCTTCTAGAAGTGCTGCTGGTTAACACATAATTCTCATATACAGGAGCATTTATGGTACCTGAACATTAATATGGAAGCTATTTTAAATGGTCCTGTGTGCTTGGAACATTAGATTTGAACCATAGATTGTAAACTATGGGATTTGATGATGGTAAAGAGTTTAAGGTATTCTTTGACAGTTTACAGAAGAGATATTTAAGAAGACTTTTTCTCCAGTGGTAATATTAACAGAGCGTGGGCAACTGGACATCAGTAGCTCAGTTCAACTCTTTGTGTCTAGGTTTCCTTTTATCAGAGTTTTAAAATTTGACAGCTCTTTATGTACTTTAAGCCAGTGTTAGGAAGAGCGACACAATTTCTAGTAGGCAGTAGTTAGAACTGTTTGTCATTCACAAATAGTGGGTCTCTCATAATTGGTAATTATTTGTGATTGTTGCAGGACCTCCATCTTCTAAACCAGCAGTGCTAGCCAATGGTGATCATGGAACAGGAGGAAGTGGTACTATGGGTAAGTGGTTCTTAGGATTCCCCAAATATGTGGGTAAAAATAGTCACAGCAAACATTTTGAGAAGCTCCTTTAAGAAGGATTGTTAGTGGTAACATCCAGATTATTTCTAAGGATATTATTATTTCCTGTTGGATATATTTAAATCCAGGACCTGTGCCACAAAAATCTTCCATCAATGGAAAGAGAAGAGTAAATTTCCTTTGATATTCTTTGAATATGTGTAATTACATCACACAGAAGCTGAATCAGTCTTAAAAATACACTTACAGATGCAAGATGATCATCAAAATGTTACATTGGAGGCCTTTGGCTACTACAGCTTTGCAGGCAGGTCTCTTCCCTGAACAGACACTGCACTTAGTTTGCTTTCCCAGCTCAGTGTTAGAAAACATGTGAACTACAAATTTAAAGTTATGCCCATTCATGTTTGCCCTGTTTCCTTTCTTTTTCATTTAAATGCTATTTTTGAAATCTGTCTCTAACCTTTAACTCCTAGCCCTTTCTAGAATTTTGTTACTTTGTTAGCTAGAACTAAGTGTTCCTATGGATTCCTGTCTCATAACTAGCACAGCTTCCTGCCTCCATATCTGCCCAGCAGCAAAATTCTGTAAGTGTAGCAGGATCCCACAGGATGTACTTGCTGTCTAAATCTTTTCTTAGGTAGCTGACATGAGAGTCATGTTGGATTTTTATAAATAACTGCATTTAATTTGCAGCTGTGCTCAGACTCATACTGTTGACCCATCTGGGTAGGCTTCTAATGCTCGAGCACATTGTGATCTGCAGCAGCATATGCTCTTACCTGGGGCATAAACTTTTGCTTCACTTTATTGCAGTCTGGGGGAGTACTAGTACTGTGTCTCTTGTATGAAACCTTAGCCTTGAAAAGCATTTCCTTGATTTACCACAGGATTTCTTGGTTTTTAAGGCTTCCAAAAGCCTCTGTTTGCAAGCAGTTTTAGTAGGGTTTACTTTTTATCCTGTAACCTTTAGAAATGTTGTATAAATTTTTGTACCTCAGATTTAATGATGACTAGGTTCTATTATGAATATTAACTTTACTCAATGATATTAGCATCCCTATTTAGCAACTCATAGATTAGTAACTCTTTAATTTTAAATCTAGAAACAGAAGTGCTACCTTATTTTTCAGATTTGTTAACTGAAACTTTGTGGTTTCTTTGATAGTCTTAGTTGTATAGACTTTTTTTTTGTGCCCACTCTGAGGCCTGTCATCTATGTAATCTGGTTTAAGAAAACATTTATAGAAATGTTCCTATCATTAAAGGAGGAGCTTGAACATAAAACTCTTAAAAATTACTAAATTCAGTTGCTTTATCTGGGAGTCAGTGTTGGAGAATGCAAGACTGGAGGGAACTGATTAGATTAGTCAGTTGATATAGTGAAGGCTGCTTCCATCCACAAAGGAAACAGCTAATCAAACTTCAGTGGAGGTCTTTATTCCATCAGGATGTCGTCTGACCAGAAGAGACCCAAACTTGATATAACAATTGTTTCTCGTTGTCAAATTTTTATATAGTGCAAGTAAAAAGAACAGGGGTAACATGGAGCCTGACCCTTATTGTCTCAGCACTGTTTTGCCTGGTGCCAAAAAAGAACCCAGCTGCTTAGAAACTGCTCAGTGGTATTAGAAGAGCATCCTTCTGCTGTTGGATACTGCTCCATCATTGGGTAGAATACAGTTTGTGCACCTGGAAAATATTTGAGTTCTGAATTAGTATATTCATAATTATATTAAAGCAGATTCTTTACTGAAAATATTCATGCTCCACTCATGCATGGGAAGGAATAGGGAGGTGGGCAATATGGAGGGTAAAGAGTGCATGTTTTTGGAACATGTTGACTTCATTCTAATTTGGTCATCACTAACTGGAATGTGCAGTTTAGCACCATTTTGAAAATTCTCATTTCTGTTTCCTTCAGAATGTTATCTGTAGTCTTACGAGCAGACCATCTCCACTGATAGTATATAAAGGATTTATGAGCATCTTGCTGTTTTGAACTTGCTGTTTACTAATAACCTGTGCTTTTCTACCCTTTCCTACTTCTTCCTCCCTTCTATTTTTCTCCTCCTAGAAGCCTAGCGTGTCTCTCAACACTGGGGCTGCTGCAACACCAGACCAGTGATCTTTCCTAAGCACCGTTACACTTCTAAAACCTTCAGCATTTTGCAGAGCTTTGCTTTTCCTCCCTGGACACCATATAGAAGAAGCTGAGGGTAGTTCTTCGGGGCCTAATTCTGCTGATGCCTGAGCAAACCACCTGCTTCCTCTTGTGCCCTGCAGGGCTTGATGGGACCTCCTTTCCCTTTGTGAGCACAAAGTACAAGATGAATTCGTTTTAGTATTTTTTTTTTGGTAAAGTTTATTCTGATGTCTTTTATTTCTTGTTCTCCTTTAAACTCATTTTATCATTTAGTTCATCTCATATTTTTCTTTTTGTTCAACATTTTTACTTGGCCTTTTTTATTTAATCTTCAGTTCTTCAACATTAACTAGAATATTCTAACACCAAATGAGAACATGTGCTTTCATAAAGGGATTGAGTCCACCAGTACTGCAGTGAGCCTCCCTTTTCCTCTTTCTCCTTCCTCCCTCTATGACCTTGCTTTTAGGGGAGGGTGAACTTTTAGGCTTTTTCTCTCCACCTCATTAAAATATGAATAATTGTGACTGATTTTAAGTTTTCTAATTTAAAGTAGTTCTGATACTTGTAAAGTATTTCTTCAAGTTAAATCATCCCTATTATTTGCAGGTTGGGCTGAAATTATTATGAAATTTATGATCATGTAACGTCAAAATAAGAATTGAAAACTTAAACAAAATGGAATCTTATTAGAACAACTGTAAATCAATAAAAAATAACTTCTTCTGTAATAATGCAAGAATAAAAAACTAAATTGTGACAACTTGAAGAACCACAACCAGTTCATCAGGTTCTAATGAAATGATTCTCATTGAATAGACTCAAACTCTATTCCTGATTAATAATGATTTTAGCTCTGGTGATACCCTTGTGCAGCATATGATAGGATTAGTTGTTCTCACGAAGATCTGTATGGCAGGTCATTTGCCATTAGTGTTTATATTCTCACATTCTGAGGATAGTCTCACTAGGATTTACTGTTACTCATTTTTTCATTCCAGTAGCTAAAAAAATATGAAACTTTGGGTTCAGTACTGTGGATCTTTTCAAATGACAAAGCTTTGATCACTTTTACACATTTGGCAGTACTGTAGCCAATGAGGTTTATCTGAGGCATGATTATTGCTAATAGAGAAACTTTGATCATATTTTTATAAGTAGGATATAAAAACCATGGGCTGTGTTTTGAAATCTCAGAGGAGTTCTGGTTTAAGATCTGAAATGTAAAATCTTAAATTTGAAATAACTGATTATAAAGGTTTTTGCAATTGCAGTTATTCATTGTTTCAGATAAAAATGAAGTGGCTTCAGGTTCTGAGGAAGATTTCAAGATGTACATTATTTTAGATCCTCTTATACAAAACACTTGAAATTAAAGTCATAATATTTTGAAAGTTTAAATTGAGCTTCTGCTATGACTTTTGGAAATTAGGAATCATGACCTCTTCTGATCATAAGGATTGCTTTCTCTGCAAAAAATTCCTTCTGTGGATTGTGAAGAGAAAGCACTGAAGGGACTCAGATTTTAGAGAGAACAGTTCTGTGGTTATCTACTAAACATTTTTTTTTTATAACAGTTTAAACAAAATAAAAACCTCTTACCATAGTAGAGCACATCATCAAATAAACAGCTGGATGTGTGTTTTTTTGTTTTGTTTTTTTTTTTGCCTGAGACTTTTTCAAAACTGGTAGTGTTAACTTTTAAAAAATATGTTTGACATTTTTCTATTCTCAGTGAGTCTCTGCACCTTAGCTAAGTGATAGACTGAGAAATCTGGGTGTAGTGGTCCTGTGGGTGTAGTGGTCCTGTGGCTGTGGTCAAAGGCACACATTCACATTTCATTGTTGACATTGATTTCTTCCTCCTTTATTTCCATTAGTTATGTTTATTTGTGTTTGAAAACTTTTTCCAAATATTTTCCTTCTGACTTTATGATACTGTTGAAATTTCCTAACAGCCAGCTAAATTTTGGTATATATTATTAGCTCTCTGTTTTATTTGGATGTTTAATTTTGATAAAAATAAATTTCATGTTTCATATATAGCTTCATATGAAGTAGCCAATCCTGTAATGAAATACTGTATTGTCATGATGGTCATACCTGCGTGGTCCAATAGCTCACCGGTGAAGTGACTGAAGTGCTGAGGATTGCTCTGCCGAAATGTAATTTGTCTTATATGCAATCTCTCTCTTTTTATAGACTTTTGTTTTTAATAATATTTTAAAAACTTTGTTCATGCACTTAAGTGTGTGTGTTCTTTCTTTTTTTTTTTTTTTTCTGTGACATTGACTTCAATGATTTGTATCTTGGAACATTTTTATGTGATCATTGTGCTAAATAAACTACACTAATAAATGTCTTACATTAACACCATATGGACTGAATTTGGTTGGGGTCTTAAATATTGAAGTATAATATGACTGAGATGGATTTTGTAAATAAAAACTATGAGGTATGAGTTCTTAGTCTGACAAAGCTTCGCTTCCCACCTATAGTAATTGTGTGTGGGTTTTCCTTTTTCCTATGTACTTAAATTACTTGGTCGTTTTTGATTCTCAGTGTAAACTACTTGTTACCCAGAATCTGTCAGCAATACTAATAAGCCCAGATGACTGTTTGATATTTTATAGCATCTGGTGAGAAAGACAGTTGGCAGAGTAGCAATAAGAAGTTATTCCAAAAGTTTCCATGACTTAACAATTAAAATGTGTTATATTCAATAGTATATTGTTAGATAATCTAGTGTGCTATATATTGGAAAAAGTAAATGAAATGATTAGTTTCCTTTCTATTCTGGGTTAATATTTCTTTACAGTGCATAGATTGACAA